CTGTTAGTGACCGGATTAATGACTACCCACACACAGGAGATACACACGTTTGGCTTGTTCTCGTAGCTTCGTAGGGCACCTCAAACTTCGGTGAACACAGCCTGCTTCTACTGGGCTCCTCTGGACTTCCACTCCCTTTTCTGTAACTTGTCTTGGGGCTGCCTTTAGCCCCACAGTCTACTTCTCCCAATTGAGAATTTCCAATATATGTTAACTAATTTTCCCTGATTACTATTTCTAGGAATGAGGGCAGGCCTTTGTGTTACCCCCACACCAATCATCCAGTCTTTCAGAATCTTTTCTTTGGCCACCATTTGGAGATATAACTTAAGCTTATTCCTTCTTTGGTTGCTTACAATTTCAGGGTAGTTTAGGACAGGATTTTTGGTAATTTTTTTTCTTGATTCACAGTAAAAGGTCTGTAGAACAATCTTACCCTGCCATCTTAACCCCCAAAATCACACTAATTTATTCATCCGCTTTCCCTGATAAAAGGACTTACTACAGGGAGAAGCAGTACCTTCTTGACTTTATACTCAGGATCTAAGTACAACACCCAGCAAATAGGAACTCTTATTTGTTGGAAGAAACATACACTTTAATTTCTGAAAAGAGATTTTTCATCAAGCCACTATTTAACAGTTCTTCCATATAAGTTAAATCAACCTTTCTGGAGCATTTACTCTTGAGTGATGCTTAAGTACAAGTATCATACTACTAGGTAAATTTAACAAGCACCTCCAAATAAGACGAGTAGGGCCCCAATCTTCAAGGAATTGAGCTCTAATGTACAGGGCTCACACAGTTTAAAGTTATACATCTTTTGGGGAATGTAAAATAGTGCAGCTGCTGTGAAAAGGTTTGGTGGGTGCTCAAAAATTAAACAAAATTAACATATAACTTCCAGTGGCCTGACCATTTGGAGACTGGCAAAAAAAAAAATAAAATAAAATAAAATAAAAAAAATTATATACACACACACACACACACACACACACACATCCATCCCAGTAATCCACTCCTAGGTATATATCCAAAAGAACTGAAAGCAGGGAGACAAACACGTTTGTATGCCAATGTTCACAGCAGCATTAATCACAACGGTAAAAAAGGTGAAACAACCCAAGTGTCCATCAATAGATGAGAACATATGTGATGCACACATACAATGAAATATTATCAGCCTTAACAAGGAAGGAAATCCTGATGGATGCCACTACAAAAATAAACCCTGAAAACACCATGAAATAAGTGAAATAAGCCAGGCACAACATGACAAGTACTGCAATGAGTCCACTGAAATGAAATATGCAGCATCACTTCAGGTCAAGAGCTCAAGACCAGCCTGGCCAACATGGTGAAACCCCTTCTCTACTAAAAATACAAAAATTAGCCAGGTGTGGTGGTGGGCGCCTGTAATCCTAGCTACTCAGGAGGCTGAGGCATGATAATCGCTTGAACTCAGGAGGTTGCAGTGAGCAGAGATCTTGCCACTGCACTCCAGCCTGGGCAACAGTGAGATTCAAAAAATAAAAATAAAAAAAATGGTTAACATGGCAAATTTTGTAATATATGCATACATACATACTTTTTGAGATGCAGTCTTACTCTGTTGCCCAGGCTGGAGTGCAGTGGCACAATCTTGGCTCACTGCAACCTTCACTTTCTGGGTTCAAGCAATCCTTCTGCCTCAGTCTCCCATGTAGCTGGGATTACAAGCCTGTACCACCACACCTGGCTGATTTTTGCATTTTTAGTAGAGACAGGGTTTCACCATGCTGGTCTCGAACTCCTCAACCCACGTGATCTGCCCACTTCAGTCTCCCAAAGTGCTGAGATTACAGGCGTGAGCCACTGTGCCTGGCTTGTTATATATGTTTTTATCACAATAAAAAATATATTGTAGGCCAGGCGTGGTAGCTCAAGCATGTAACCCCAGCACTTTGGGAGATCAAGGTGTGTGCATCACCTGAGGTCAGGAATTCGAGACCACCTTGGCCAATATGGTGAAACCCCATCTCTCCTAAAAATACAAAAATTAGCCAGGCATGGTGGTGGGTGCCTGTAATCCCAGCTACTCAGGAGGCTGAAGCAAAAGAATCACCTGAACCCACGAAATGGAGGTTGCAGTGAGCCGAGATTGTGCCACTGCACTCCAGCCTGGGCAACAGAGTGAGACACTGTCTCAAAAAAAATATATATATATATACACCTATGTTTATATTATATATATATATTTATATATTTTTTGAGAACACATTTGGAGTGCAGTGGCACTCCACTCGGCTCACTGCAACCTCCACTTCCCAGGTTCAAGCAATCCTCCTGACATATATATATATATATATATATATAAATTGGGCCCTTTGGGATCAGTTATACATATTTATATAAATAAATGTAAATATGTTTATAGATTTTTTTTAGAACACACCTTTTACTTATACTAAAAAGCCATTATACTGTCAATCCAAGGAGTTACATGCAAGGCTAAAAACAAGCTTGCAGTAGTTTGTAGGGAACTACACCCAAGAGAGAAACATTCAGAGACCAGTCTTCACTGACACATACCGAAAGCTTTTTCATTAAGCCTTAGAGAAGAAATAACTCGGGTTTTGGTAGTTTTTCACTTTTGGTGCTTTGGTACCTAAGGCTTAATATTAGGTGGAAATGCTCCTCGAGTTTAACAAATACCACTCCACAACATCACTCTCTCTTACCATGTTGTCCTAGTCCAATTTATTTGAATATGAGTCCCTTTAGGGCGGATACTACAACTTAATTATCTGCCTATCACTTTTGTACCTAGCAGCCGTAACAATGACAGCAATCTTGGGTCTGTCAATTCTTCACCGCCCAAAAGTTGCAACATTAATCACAAAAGCGTTACAATACGGGCAAATCTTTCACCTAACAGAAACCTCTAACTTCCTGAAAACTGAGCCCAAAGGTACCAAGTGGAAAAATGAAATTGAAATCAAGGAGAGTAACTACACAGGCAAAGGCAATTAAGTGATATTCCGGGTTCCCGGCACGGGTCCGTGAGCCCGCCCCCGCCCTCCTCACCAAGTGTAGATCTGCAACTCGCTGGACGGTACGTTTCCCCGGGAGAACTCGTCCATTCGGTGGTGGCGGCCGTTATTAGTGGTGAAGACCCGCAGCAGCAGCGGGCATGTCTGAGGGACACAGAAAAGGGAAGGGCAGAAATTAAAGACCCCAGCTGCGAGCCCAGACCTTACTTCCCTTCCTGAGGCGTCGCGGCCTCCGAGCCGCCCCGAGACCAAAAACACCACCTCCTCCTGCACACAAGCCGCACCTCTGCACCCTGCCGGGCCCAACCCCAACCTCTTCCCGGACCCCAGAGTGGAAGGGATCTTCACCTTCTCGCGGTCGATTGGCTTCTCTGGCTCCTTCTTAATTTCCTCCTGGGTAACGCGCGATTCCACCGCCATCTTCCTCCTACGGCCCGCGAGACGCTCGCCCTGACCTCCGACCCCTGCAGCGAGCATGAACACGAACTCTCTCGCGAGGAGAAGCTCCACACTTTATAGTCGGCCGGGGGCTGGGCGTGGCGTCTCCTGGCGCAGGCGCACTTCGGTGCGCGGCGCGTGAGCCCTGGCGCGCCTGCGTGTTGCGACGTAGGGAAAAGGTGGGTGGTGGCGACCGCGGGGAGACGCTAAAGGAGGCGCCTAAAGTCTGTCGCCGGGTAGTTTGTTGGCGAGGTGTTTTTTTCGCTTAAGTATTCACAGACGAAATAAGCTTAATGTGGCGTTTTCACGCGTATTGACGAAAACCTTATTGGACACAAAACGTTCCTTAATTAACAAAATATAGATCTCTTCTTTCTGATAAAAGAACAGGCCAGCGATCCCGGCTCCTGAGGAGAGCCGGAAGAGGCGCCGCCAACATACGTGGTGATGGAGCGGTCCTTCCAGCCACACACTGTTCGGGGGGCACAGAGACCTGAATACGAATAGCAAACCCAGAACTTGCAGGAAATAACGTTCTAGAATATCTTCAGGACCTATGGGTGGGAATATATGATACAAAAAGAATTAACGAGAAGCGATCGATTTGACTGGATTACGACCAAAAAAAAAAAAAAAAAATCTAACCATAAAAATACATAACAACTCCATGATGAACCAAAAATGCTAAGTATGTGACTGAACTTACAAGTGAATCATCTTACGACTGAAAAGTGGGAAAAGCCACAATACATCATAAGAGGAAAAGGCCACAGAGTGGTAGAAATTTGTTACACATATGATTGACAAAGGCTAGTATCCAGAATATATAGGAACTAAAAAGACAACCCAATCGAAAAGTTGATAAAATTACTGAATAGGTGCTTTAGCAATGACAAAATCTATAGTCAACAAACAGGTAAGGGTCGCAAGCGCATTAGTTTCAATTGATTGGATTTTAAACCACGTCCACAAGATTGGCAAAAATTAGGAACTTTAGCAGGGCGTGGTGGTTCACGCCTGTAATCCCAGCATTTTGGGACGTAGAGGCAGGCGGATCACTTGACTTCCTGACTCCTGACTTGAGGTCAGGAGTTCGAAACCAGCTTGGCCTACATGATGAGACCCTGTCTCTACTTTTAAAAAAATAAATAAATAAATAAATTAGCCAAGTGTAGTGGCAGTTGCCGGTAATCCCAGCTACTTGGAAGGCTAAGGCAGTAGAATTGCCTGAACCCAGGAGGCAGAAGCGGCAGTGAGCAAAGATCGTTCCAATGCACTCCAGCAGCCTGAGCGACAGAATGAGACTCCATCTCCAAAAAAAGAAAAACACGGCGGGGCATGGTGGCTCACCTCAGTAATCCCAGCACTTTGGGAGTCCAAGACAGGTGGATCACTTTAAGTTAGGAGTTTCAGACCAGCCTAACCAACATGGTTAAGCCTCGTCGCTACTAAAAATACAAAATTAGCCGGCTCGTGGTGTGGCAAGCCTGTGATCTCAGCTACTTGGGAGGCTGAGGCAGGAGAATTGCTTGAACCCAGGAGTCAGGGGCTGCAGTGAGCCAAGATCACGCCATTGTACTCCAGCCTGGGCGACAAGAGCGAAACTCCGTCTCAAATAAAAACTAGGAACTCTGACGGTAACAAGTATTTGTAGACTACTAGGAATTCTTGCATACTGCTGGTGAGAATGTAACCTGGAACACCTGCTTTGGAAAGTAGTACCTACCCTAGAGAAAATCATGCTCATCTCCAGAGACATTACAAGAATGTTCTTAGCAATATTGTTCATGAGAACAAAAAGCTGGAAACAGCCCAAGTGTCCATCGACAGTAGGACAGTTCAGTGAATTGTGGTGTACTATACAGCAACACAACTACCAATCAACAGTGGGATACTAAAAAGCAACACAAGTTTACAAACTACAGTCATATGAAACAATGTGAATCTCACAAACATGATGGTAAATATAAGAAACAAAGACAAAAATGTATATATTGGGTGAATTCGTTTTCATAACATTCAGAAGTAGGCAATACTAAAATATATTGTTCAGGAGAATTCCCAGGTGACAAAAAGTATAAAGAAAATGGAGAAGTAATTATAATTACCGGAAAAGTTTGAGTAGTAGTGACCTCTGAGTATACAAGGGGATTGTGATAAGGGAGGAGCAGATGGAATGCTTCTAGTGGTGTTGGCAACATTGCATTTTTTAAAACCTAGGTGTTGGTTACATAGCTGTTTGAATTAAAATTAAAGAGTACATTTGGCCAGGAATGGTGGCTCATGCATGTAATCCCAGCACTTTGAGAGGCTGAGGAAGGTGGATCACGAGGTCAGGAGTTCAAGACCAGCCTGGCCTGCATGGTGAAACCCCGTCTCTACTAAAAATGCAAAAAATTAGCTGAGCGTGGTGGCACGCACCTGCAGTCCCAGCTACTTGGGAGGCTGAGGCAGCAGAATTGCTTGAACCCGGCAGGCGGAAGTTACAATGAGCCAAGATAACGCTGCTGCACTCAAGCCTGGGTGACACAGCGAGACCATCCCCCCTCACCAAAAAATAAATAAATAAATAAAATAAAGAGTACATTGATGTTATTATTGAGATGGTTTTGCTCTGTCACCCAGGTTGGAGTCCAGTGACACAATCATAACTCACTGTAGCCTCGACATCCCAGCTCCAGCGATTCTCCCATCTCAGCCTCCTGGGTAGCTGGGACCACATAGCTGGGAACACAGGTGCAAGCCACCATGCCGGGCTAATTTTTGTATTTTTTGTAGAGACAGGGTTTTGCAATTTTGGCCAGACCACTTCGAACTCTTGACCTCAATCTATCCACCCACCTCAGCCTCTCAAAGTGCTGGAATTACAGGCAAGAGCCACAGTGCCTGGCCCCATTTATTTTATTTTTAATGCACCCTTCTGTATTAATGCTATACATTGCTATTTTAAAAATACGTAATTCAATAGAAAAATGGGCAAAAGACATGGATGGGCTGGGCACAATGGTTCATGCCTGTAATCTCAGCACTTTGGGAGGCATAGGTGGGTGGATAGCTTGGTCTCAGGAGTTCGAGACCAGCCTGGCCAGCATATCAAAACCCTGTCTCTACTAAAAATGCAAAAATTATCTGATCGTGGTGGCGGGTGCCTGTAATCCCAGCTACTCTGAAGGCTGAGGCAGGAGAATCATTTGAACCCAGAAAGCAGACGTTGCAGTGAGCTGAAATTGCACCACTGCACTCCAGTCTAAGCAACAGAGCAATACTCTGTCTAAAAAAAAAAAAAAAAAAAAAAAAAAAAAAAAAAAAAAAAAAAAAAAAAAAAAAAAAAAAAAAAAAAAAAAAAAAAAAAGGACAGGCATTTCATAGATGATTAAATAAAGGTAAACATATGAAAAGATACCTGACCTCATGAATAGTCATAGAAATGCAAAGTTAAACACAGTGGGATAACACTTCACTCAACTAGAATGACCAAAATGTGAAAGTGTGACAAGTAAGTGCTCACAAGGATACAGAGAAAAGTAATTTGTATAGATTGCTCTCATCCACTTTAGAAAACTGATTGACATCACCGAAAAAGATTAGATATGTGTACACCTTAAGACTCAGGTATTCTATTCCTTGTGTGTAGCTCAGAAAAACTGTTGGCCATGAGCACAAGACAGAATTTTAAATAATGTAACGTGTTTATTCATAATAACCAGAAACAATTCAACTATCTACCTAGTGTATATTCATAAAATGGAATACTATAAATACTTGAAAGTAAATAAATGAATCAGTACTCTTTCTTAAAAAATAAAAGCAAATCACAGAACCCATATGATAGGGTTCAATTTATGCAATTTACTCAATTTTGGAGGAAAATAGGAGCCCCCTCACCTAAAAATACTGTTTAGGGAAAAAAACATGAGTGCTAAAACTATAAAGAGAAGCAGGGGGGACATCAACACTAAATGCAGTGTAGTGTTACCTCTGAGGATAAGCTTGGGCAATGCAATATACGAAGGGCATCCAGGCCTTCTAAGATATTGGTAATGTACTCTTTCTCACTAGGAGGAATGTGGTTTTCATTCTCTACACTATAGCTATACATGTTAGAAACTCTTTTGTATGTGTGATTTAGAATACAGTCTTAAAATTTTATTTATTTATTTATATACTTTTGAGACAGGGCCTGGCTATGCTGCCCAGGCTGAAATTCATTGGCACAATCTCAATCTCAGCTCACTGCAGCCTCCATCTCCTGGACTTAAGTGATGCTCCCACCTCATCTTGCCTTGTAGCTGGGACCACAGGCCGTACCACCACACCCGGCTAAGTTTTTGTATTTTTTGTAGAAACGGGGTTTGCCACATTGTCCGATTGGTCTCGAACTCCTGGGTTCAAGCAATCCACCCGCCTTGGCCTCCGAAAGTGCTGGGATTACAGGCATGAGTAACCGCACCCGGCCATAAAAGATTTATTTGTCATTGTGCCTAGAATGGGCATGCATGCAGAATTGCATGCGGGCAATGTTTGTTTTTTTCAAAAAGATATTTAAATTTTCTCCTCAGTTCTATGATTCTAGTAATATAGCTTTTTTAAAAATTTTATTTTTCTGCCCGGGCGCAGTGCCTCACACCTGTAATACCAGCACTTTGGGAGGCTGAGGTGGGTGGATCATGAGGTCAAGAGATCAAGACCATCCTGGTCACATGGTGAAACCCCATCTCTACTAAAAATACAAAAATTAGCTGGGTGTGGTGGTGCACACCTGTAGTCCCAGCTACTCGGGAGGCTGAAGCAGGAGAATTGTTTGAACATGGGAGGCAGAGGTTGCAGTGAGCCAAGATCGCACCACTGCACTCCAGCCTGGCAACACAGTGAGACTCTCTCAAAAAAAAAATTATTTTTCTGAATAAAGAAGAATTCTATGATGATTCTAGTATTGTATCTTTTTCAAAACCTCCATAATATAAAAATGCAGACACATGAGGCACTCTAATCAATCCATCAAAGGGAAAACATTGAAACTATGAAAATGAGGAACTTCACAACCTTTTATTGGTAATATTAGGGAAGTTTCGCTTCTTAATATAAACTTTCATTTTGGGACCTTTCCAAATAACCAGCTGTCATCAAAATGAAACTTTCCAACACCTTAAGGTAGTAGAAGTGCAGCTATATTTTAGAATACTTGGAATACTTTTTCAGTAGCCCTCATTTTACCTACATTGCCTTGTAAGATCAGCTCTGAATTGGTTCTGGAATTGTAATATTAAGGGTATGCATCTTCTTTTTTTTTTTTTTTTAGAATTTACACTTCTAAGTGATATACCCAAGGGAATTGAAAGCAGGGACTCAAGATATTTGCACACCAGTGTTTATAGCAGCATTATTCACAATAGCCAAAGGGTAGAAACAGTCTGAATGTCCATCAACAGATAAAAAGATATACATACAATGGAATAAAGTTCTGATGCATGTTACAACATGGATGAACCT